TGTTAATAAATATTGCAGTTATATGAATTACATTTTTGTGTTTATTAATATGAGTTTATAACATTATAAATTCCTTGGATGTTAGACAACACTAGAGTATAACTTTAAATTACTACTTTTATGTTATTGATGTTTGGAAGTATGAAATCTAGTTATTTAATTGAAATGCATAAATTCTATTAAACAGTTAAATGGATTTTAAGAATTTGAGATACCAATTATGTATGTATAATAATGTTACTAAAAAATTTGGTATGCAGAATTTGAGTTAAGGCTTATGTTTGTAGATCGATCTAGACAAAAGTGACTACACTGTTTTTAGTAATAAGTAATATCATACTGTAGTTTCTATAGTATGCTAAAAGTCGGCTTTATATACAAGTGACCAATTTACCTTGTTACACATATGGTGTGGTTTACAACGATGTTACTATTGCACAACATGATGTTACTTCTTATACAATATAAAATTATACTCAACAAGAATACAACTGATTCAGGTACTAGGATGCTACTATGCAGTATGCATTCTACTATTTAGAAGTAGAAAACATCTTATGTATCTTATGTGGATATTCTACTATAAGTGCACTTTTGAAAGTTTACAACATTGCTAGAAAAAATATTGACAATAATAATAAGGTAATAGGCATTTTTTTAGATGTTCAGAGAGCTTTTGATTGTGTTGTTCATAAACTATTGATTAATAAATTAGAACATGCAGGTATTCGTGGTATACCAAATAGATTACTGATTTCCTTCCTAAATGGTAGAACTCAAAGAGTCAAACTCAATGATCAGTATAGTGAAATACAAAAAGTATCTTGTGGTGTAGGTACCACAAGACACAGTTGTATTATTCATAATATTTATTAATGATCTCTTAAAAATTCCTATGAACTTATCAGCTTTGCTGATGATACTTCGATTTTATTATCTGAACAAACAATAGATACTTTATATTATGAAGCAAATATAATATTTACTATATACTATTACTTATGCTATATAAGAACCGCTCTCCCCCCCCCCCCACAAGTTTGGCTTTTGTGCTATTTAATTTATGTTCATTGTACATATTATAATGATTAATGTATCACCTATTTGTTTTGACAAAAATGTATTATTATGTAGGTAGCAACACACTTTTTGTATCCATCAAGAAATCAACTAAAAGTTGTAAAAACTAATCATTCCTATGATGTTGCTACTTGCTAGTACATTAAGGTATGGCATGGAAATATTACTGTTTTATTCTGTGAATAAGCAAATAGGTTTATATATGCTAATTGTATGCATTATTAATATTTATAAAAAATAGATAATTTACTAAAGAAAAAAAAATATTTAAACTTGTTAAGTTAAGGAACGAATTTAAAAAAGGAACACTTTTTACTATGGAAAAGACTTAGAATAATGAATACATTATACATTATATGTATTTTATTATATTCTTTACTTTTGATTAAAACATTTAGGTATATAGACATAGTTTAAAAAGTGTTCTGTACAGGCAATTTTACTGCAATTTCATATTATTGCGATACCCTCGTAATTTCGTAAACCATTGAATATATAAAAATGTTGTACTCTAGCAAAATTGTTTAACATATAGGCTTTCATAGTTGTGCAGGCTGGTTTTTGGTCTAAAATATGGGATTTTGCTCTCAGGTTTATTATGATTTTGGAAATTCTTAAATCTTCCTTTCTTTATAAAACCTTCGAGGGTCGAAGAAGATGTGACCCTAGACTTCCCAGCTCAAAAAATAATTTTTCACTCAATTATATATGGGTGGTTAACGAAGTTTTCGAAATTTGAATTTAAAAAAAAAAAATGGCGGGTAATTTTGTTTTGCCGATTTCTCAAACTTAGAATCGAGACTCGGTTTTTTTGAGAACGTATATTTGATTAAGAGGTGTCACTGCGTTGAACCTTGAGGATTTCAAGACGTTACGACCAATATTAGACTTTTTAGGTTTTTTCGATATATTACGATTTTAAAAAAACCAAATCATTTAATATTAATTCTATCTACCTAAGACCTTCGAGGATCGAAGCAGAAGCGGCCCTACACCAGTTCCCAGTTTTTAAAAGTATTGAAACTCAAATATTAAGGGGGTAAACGTTGAGTTCAAAATTTGATTTTTTCAAAAATAAAATTGGCGGGAAATTTTCTTTTGCCAATTTCTCAAACTTAAAATCGAGTCGCGGCTTTTTTGAGACAATAAATTTGATCTCGAGGGTTGTCTGCTTCGATCCTTGAAGGTTTCATAACGATACGACTTATTTTGAAGGAGCTAGTACTTCAAAATATACATCCAATTTTGTGTTGTTAGCTCAAATACATATATTAGAGTGAATTGACCTATTATTTTATAGGTTTTAATATTTTATTCTTATATACCTATCGATTTACATTAATGAATAATGAGCTACACGCCTACTAAAATAAGTGTGAAAAAAAGTTCAATATAATTATTACTTGATACGTTACACGGACGTATACCACAAGGAGACGCCTTGATAATACGAAAAATAGCATAATTTGTTTTCTAACTTTTTGCTACTACGATTTCGGGCGAAATAATGGTCGTACGTATTTTGACCATAGAGGTTTTTTGAATCCTCGTATGCCGAATGATCAGATTCTAGAATTTTGTAGTGATCAAACGAAAAAAAAAAATCTAAAAAACACGTAAATACGTAATTTTCTAAGTACAAAAAACACTTTAAAAATCATAACTCCCGAACAAAAAGTCGGATCACCTCGATCTCGGTGCCAATCGTTCAGGCGTAAAGTGCTCTATAATGCCCGACTATAAAAACGGCTCGGAACGCCCAAAATCTAATTGTCAGCAACGAAAACTCCGAAAAATGCAAATTTTGAACTTTTGAAGCCCCAAAAGACGGAGAAAAACGGCTCCTATGGGCTCGACACAAGACGCCGAATTTGATCACCGACCTCCAAACTATACAAATCTTGAGTTTCAGAAACGTCATACAAAAACTAAACCTTTTCCAAAATACACCTAGGGGGGTGTTCGAGGACCCCCGGCTCCGGGAGTACGTTTTAGAAGGGCCTAAACCGAAACGTTTGGGAACTTAAAAGTATGATATTATCTTATGTGAACGTCATCTACAACCTATAAATGATTTATTGGACTTTAAAACTATTACATATTTATACGTTAGTTCGCATTTGGTAATTACGCCAGCAACATACAACTTTCTATGCCAGAAGTTTTCCTAGAAGTAGGTAGTTACCTATTCATATAAATATATAATCACATCGATAGTAAATCTCATTAAGAGTGTTAACCATGAAAAATTGTTTATATAATTGACGAACTTTAAATTTCAATCATCAAAGCTTATGATGTGTATACGTCTCGAAAATGATTATGACTAAATGTATTTTGTTATAATATTATAATATGACATGTCTTTAAATCTACTAACGCTGGACAATAGGTATAAACGTATAGTTAATTAGTAAATGACAGATGTATATTATAATATTAGGTATGTACTATCTATTCAGAACTTTTGTGGTCGTCTGTTTGTGGATGAGATACCTACAGGTTAATCTATTTATTATATTTTGCGGTAGGTATTTATTTCCATGATTTTATACATAGCGCAGTGATGCAGCCCGTTTAGTATAAATATATAGTATGAAATATGAATATTATAAACATATTTTAAACCGTATCAGAGTAACTCAGTAACCGAAAAGTGCTACTTATCTTGACACGGTGGAAACATGAAGTGGGTTGGTCGGTTTTAGATTAACTAACCCTTTTAAGAAATACATCGGCAACATAATATGCAGTAGTATCTTTAATTCGTGGTTACGACCATGGTAGTTACCAACCAGTTGGTTATGGGGACAGTTCAGTTCCATGATAAGAACTAGGACCCGTGATAAGAAATTATATGGGATGGGACTTGAATTTTATCGTTGGCACCACTGTTGAACTCGTCCATTCAGTCCATTCAGTCATTCAGTTCAGTCAATTAGGCTCACCCGTGGTGTATGACATAAAAAGTAAATCGTGATAAGTCGTGATAGTAATAGTGATAACGATCGCCAAAAGTATAAACAAAGACAACCACGGTTATGGTTACTAGAACGAAACAGACCAAACGCTGGATTAGGGCGTTTACAATGTTTGCAAACGTTTACAGCACGGACTAAGATATACAGGACTGGACACGACAAGGTTGGAGGGTGTGGGGGGGTTGACTACGAAATGTTTTACAACAGGCTATGTTCGGGGGGATATTTTCCTTTTAGCATTACTAGCGCCGTCCTAGTGGATACTTATGGAACTAGAACACATCATACAAATTTCTAGTTCCATAAGTATCCACTAGGACGGCGCTAGTAATGCTAAAAGGAAAATATCCCCCCGAACTCCGCCTGTTGTAAAACATTTCGTAACCACAATATTCATCTCGTGTCCAGTCCTGTATATCCGTGGTTTACAGCAACCGTTTAGCAACCGGACGTTCCGAATTTCTCCGTTATCAAACGTTTGCAACGTTTGCCGCTCCAGAATTTCCTCCATTATTACCATATTGTTCTATGACCAAGCAGAACCATAGAACTAACCAATGTATACTGATACCACGGTTGTAATTGAATACTGCGGTTGTAGTAAACATTATCAGTGTTTTTTCTGATTTCTTTTTGTGCATATTTCACGAATCACGGACGCTCGATGCCCCTAGTGCACGCCCCCGAATGACATATCAAAAAAGCTGTACTCCTTGATCACACTCAAGTACACAATTCAATCGTTATTTACTTTTTTCGCCAAAGTTATTAATTTTTATCAAAGTATCAGAACGTCTGTCTCTACGTTAGTTGAAAATCGTTGTAGGACTCGTTCAATTGGTGAGTTTTTGTCTATCCTGTCAGCGAACGACTAATATATCTTCGATCCTTTGTTTTTACAGGACAATCGATCACCAGGTCCCCGCGAGCTACGATAATATGTCGTCTTCCTTTGACGAGATCAAAAACTTGTACCAGACGTTGAAGACGGAATGGAATAAAAAAAAACCAGATTTTAAACAATGCAACAGCATATTGTTACAAATCAAGGTGAGTAGAATTTTTGGTCTCAACGGGTTGGGTTAGGATTTTTTTTAAAGTTAAATTACTCTGGATATTTCGGTACTAGCAAGTCCTTTATAAATATTTTTATTTGTATTACTATTTAATTTTATAAAGAACAATGTGGATAATATTATGTATATGGCTATAATTAACTCAAAACGTTGAATCTTGAAAGATTAATTTTTTTTTTTCACCAACTTAGTGTTTTATCTGATTATGTCAAAATATAAAATGCATATAGTTATATAAATTGATAGATCATTTTATATTGAAAGTTATAATATTTTATTCTTATATTAATCTATACAATCAAGTTCATAACAAATTATAGGTACATACAGTTATTTTTTTGCCAGATTTAGAAGAAAATAAATTATAAACCAATTTGTATATTACATTGGTTTTTGTACTGTAAATCAATAACTAAAATTAAAATAGGTGCGTTCAAATGCTTTATGGTGAATATTTGTTTCATTTATTTCAATTTAAACAAATATTAGTAAATTGTACTATTTCATCAAACATCTTAACACGTTCACTGCGTACTGACGCCAAGTAGCGTCATAAGTATCATTCAGCAACGTGTTTAACGCCATATGGCGTCTAATATACATTTAAAATAAATGGTTTAAAATTCCCTACGCGTGGCTGAATGTTATTTTATTATTATTTAGCGTGGATTAAACGCATGTTTTTAAATATGTATACATACGTCGTTATGAGCAGTTTCTTTATATTTTTTTTTTAATTTCTTTTGTTTTTACTTTTATCATACGCACTGGGTGATAACTGCAAAAAGACATACGCAGTCTACGTGTTAATTTTTATTAACTTTTGTTAATTTACATTAAAAACTAAAAACTATAATGTGAGATAAGTTGAGTATGAAATATAGTATATAATTTACATAAACCAATATGCAGTAAAATCCGCTTATGATGATCTTCTAGGGACCTAGAGAATCAGATAATTAAATCCGCATTTTGTATATCCAGATGACATAAACATACTGCACCTGAGATATAATACAATAAAATGAATATCACATTGAAAACACATTTTATTATAAGTCCATAAAAATTAAATTTTATAAATAAAATAATAATTGTATTTAAGAGTAATATTAATTAGGTACTTACTTCTTATTTTCAGATTGGAATGACTAAACATACCTTTTTACCAACTTCTAATGTGGAAGCATCTCAAAAAGAATATCTGATAGCTAGTAAGTTTATATTATCATTTTCAAATTTTGAGTGATAGTAGTGAGGGCAACTTTTTTTTATGAAATAACTGTCATCTTTAAAGTATAAACTTAAATTCTATGTATTTGAAACATTTGCTTATGCATTTCACTAACAACCCATTTGGTTGTCATGTATCCATTAATTGACTCATTAAAAACAGTTTGCAGTCTTAACCATCAAGCATGTTAGACTATATTATAGCTTGGTTAATTTTCCCTATAATTATCTTAAATTTGGTTTAGTCAATAGATCGTGTTTATCATTATAATTCACTTTTATATTTAATAAATAACAGAGTATGACCAGTTATTTTGTATATTTACAGGAGACATCTTAGAAGTGGGGGTACAATGCAGTATTGCCATGCATGATATTCCATCTTTTGAACGGTACATGGCTCAACTCAAGTGTTATTATTTGGACTACAGGTAAGCAAAACTTATTGAGTAATATTGAATAAGACTTCTCATTTAAAAATGTTTCTTATTTTTATTTAGGGACAAATTACCAGAGTCTGCGAATCAATATCATTTGTTAGGTCTGAACTTACTGTTCTTACTATCTCAAAATCGAGTAGCTGAATTTCATACAGAATTGGAGCTTCTCCCATATGATATTGTACAAACCAATACATATATTAGGCATCCGGTCGCTTTAGAACAATATTTGATGGAAGGCAATTATAACAAGGTGATTTAAATAAGCTTCAATAAATTAATAACAGAAGTCATAGGTGTGTCTAGAGTGGCAGCCCTTGAAATTTTCAAAAGTCGCTGTTTGACCTAGTTTAAAGTCAGATTGATTTCAACTTTTATCTTTAAAAAAAAAAGTCTTGGGCATTGTTATACTTGCTGTTTACCTATAAAGATATATTTGATAGCAACAATAATAACATGCATTGTTGCAATGATTTAGTGATAAAAGCTTAAGACAGATAGCTATACGGTTCGCATCTATTATTTGATATTATTTTTTTTAACTGTAGCTATGAAATCCAGGGTTGTGTATGAATAATATTTCTGGAGGTACTGAACATATTTACTGCAGAATGAAGATTATTAATTTAAATAGATAATATAGGCAATTTTTAAAATTATATAAATATTTCATTGGGATGACAGGGGCTTTTAAAAATACGGCCTTGGGCATTTTCGGTTCCTTAAGGTCATTTGCTAGACTTTTGCTGCATATGAAGGCACACTATGACAAAATTGTTGGATCTTATGTATAACTGTTTAATTCTTAGATATTTCAAGCAAAGAGTAATGTGCCGTCAGATACATATAATTTTTTTATGAACATACTGTCAAACACACTTCGTAATGAAATTGCTGAATGCTTACAAAAAGCATACAAAAAAGTATCTATAAATTCTGCTACAAAAATGTTAAACTTCAACAGTACTAATGAAACGAATGACTTTGCTAACAAGGTAATTTAAATTGAATTAAATAATTTGTTATCAATAAAACAAAAAAGTTAATCCTTATTTATTTTGCAGAAAAAGTGGATTTTGGGTCAAGATGGTTATTACGTATTCCACCTCGAAGAAGAGAAGAAAGCAATAGAACCTCTGCCTGCATTACAGATTGCTGATTATGCTATTCATTATGCCAAAGAGTTGGAAACTATAGTCTAATAATTTTAATTTACTCCACATGGATTTTATATTGATTATTTGAAATTAAATAAAGTTAAGAAACTCATAAATGTTTAATCTAATATAAAGTTTGGAATTTTTTTTCAAATTATTTATGTATATAAATAATTAAATATAAAAATTACTTTAAACACCACATTATATTCTTTGTACTTATATGGTAAAAAAAATATATAATTTGTATTCATTTTTAAGACTACAATATATTCTAATGAATTTAATACAAACATTAAGCTTTGGTAAAATTATAATCTTTCCATATTTCTAGAAATTTTGTAGTTTTTTGCAACTGATCTTCAATTGGTTCTTTTTGCCTTTTTCGCCATGCATTGTGATCTAAATCCATCATTCCACCAATAATTTCCTATAAATATTAAGTAAAACTTCAATATCAAACAATATAAAATAAACTATATCCATACAAAATATAGCATAATTTTAATTGACAGTTGACAAAAGTCCCTAAAAATAATATATGGAAATAAAGTTTCAGAAAAGCATTTTTTGCTTCACGGAAAACGTGTGTAAAAGCTTAGCATTTAAATGGTTTTTCCTATGCTAGATAAGCTAGATTACCCACAACATCATTGGTAGTTAATGTTGTGCAGTTTATAACTATTGCATATCTAATTTTAATAATTAATATCCAATATCACATATTTTATAGTGACTATTTTAAGTGTTATGACAATTACACTTATTTTCCAGATATTATATTGCTCGAAACTTGATCTGTTTCTCAATTTAATTAGTTTACCTCAGCAAAGTTGTTCGGGAAAATTTTTTCATCTTCAATGACATGAGCATATCCACCTTGCATCCCAAAATCAACAGCAAAATAGGGTAAGCTTTTGGGAACAGCTCTACGTACGTCTTTACTACTCAAGTCCACGACTTTTACATTAATAGCCCACTCTGTCTCACACTCTAAGATGGCCTTTTTAAAATATATTGGAGCAGTGTCACCAATTTCAATCGGCACAGGCACACAGTTCCATATCATATGAGGCATATTATTTAGTCGCATTGCACTTTCAAAAAATATTACATCTTCATCTTGATCTTTAAACATGGTAGTCAATACTTTTCGAAATACCTAATAGAAAAAAATTATCATCATTATTACAGAATAATTTTGCACTTCATTAACTGCATTTGTAAATAATGTTTTACCTGCATTTCAGTCCAAACATCTTCGTCAATATCAGTTGCACACGCATAGTGGTATATTGGTACAATTAAACAGTGCCCTTCTGTCAAGGATTTGTAAGATGGCAAGCACAGATAACACTATTAAACATTAATACACAAATTAAAAATCAGTGTTCAATATAATAAATAAATAAACATATTGAACTAGTGTATACCTTTTCTCCTTTAGCGATAAATAAGTGTTTTAACATTTCTTCACTATCAAAGCAGTAACGACAAGAGTTTAAAATTTTTTCTGTACGTTTATGCTCACCAATGGCTCGTTTAATTTCCCTCTCAGATGCCTTGGCAGACCGTTTTTCTGATGCACGATCTACAAATACATCATCTTCATCATCTCTAGCATTAACCTAAAAATTATAATTAAATATGAAATCATCAAATGTCAAATTATTTTATTGATTTTTCAATCAGTTTATTTTAATAACTATATAAGTAATAAAATATTAACCTTTCTCGATAGATTTACAAACTCCATATTACTATCCTCTGCTGTACTTGTCATTTCTTTTTGAAACTAAAATAGTATATAATAAAAGCACAATTTTATAAAACTTAATTTTTTTTAAACAGATCTATTTCATTTAAAACTCACCATAGATTTTAATGAATATTTATCATCATCATCAAAGTATCTTACTCTTTTACCATCTTCGTGTGTCAATACTTTTTCTCGTTTTTTCTTCTTACCATCATTTTTATCAACTTGTGCTTGTTTAACAGGATAACTATAACCTTTGGATGAAGTCCTAGTAAGTAATACAAATTCTTCTTCTTTTTGATTTGTTTTTTTTGTGATGTAATTCTGTTTTGTTGTATATTCTCGCGCTAATTCCAATTTTTGTTTAAGTTCTTCAGCCAGTTTCTATAAATAAAAATAAATACACATTATAATTAATTGTTTAATGAGAAATATTACAACATATCTTAATTGTTATGTATTCTTAAAACAAATCTATAATTTATTCAATCCTTTAATTTTTAGAAAATACTACACTTACTTTATTTCCCATTATTTCTGCTTTTATTTGTCTTGCAGCTAGTGCATTTAATTCAGAATCAGTTAAAGGCTTTTCAACACTTTCTTTATGTTCTTTAGGTTTATCATTATTATCTGAATATTTTTTTGACATTGTCTTTTCTTCATATTTTCCATCATCTGATGTGTATTTGTCTTCGTTGTCAGATCCTTTGTCATTTTTACTTTTTCTATCTTTTTTATGGTCATATTCTCTAGAATATTTATCTCTGGTACTTTTTCTTTCATTTTCGTGTTCTCTGTAGCGTTTATCCCTTTCTCCTTTACTTTCATTATCATATTCTTTATGTTGCCTGTTTCTTTCATCATCATAATCTCTATGGCGTTTATCTCTTTCTTCTTTTCTTTCGTCAAATTCTCTATGTCGTTTATGTCTTTCTTCATTATCACGTTTTGAAGCAGTATATTTAGTATCATTTATATTATCTCTGCGGTCGTGTTTTTTCCAAGATTGACGACCATAAGAAGTTTTTGAATAATTAGTATGTTGGTGATTTTTATAGTGATGATCATCATCATCATCTACTTTAGGCTTGAGGAAACCTTTATTGCCACTTAATGGCTTTGGTGGTGGAAGACCAGTTCCTCCATTTTTCCAGTATGGATTTAGTTCTCGTTCTGATTGACCTGGCTGCAAAAAATATTAATAAGATAAATATAGGTCCCTAGATATAATAACAAATATAAGTAGTGAAAATGGTAATATACCTTAACCATTTTAGCTTTAGCTTCTTCTAGCTCTTTGCTCTTTGTGCTAATTTTTTTTTCAATTTCTGAAGATGTATTACACACAAAATCCATCCAATTATCAGGTTCCTCTTTCGGTGCAGCAAATGATGTGGAAGTAGACGATGAATCTTTTTGGTGTTTCTCAACCCATTGATCATTGTTTGATGTCGAACTACTGGATGACGAAGATCTCTAAGTATTATATAACATGTTAATACAATCAAATGCTAGAATATGAATAATGTCTAATTATTATCATTATTACTCACATGTTTTTTTTTTTTGTTAGTTGATTTTTTGTGTTCCTTTTTATGCGATTTTTTCCCCATTCTGAAGATTGCTGGCCACTAATATATCGGTGTTAATTCCTAACTCCCGGCGTTTATTTTCTTGTCGTTCAATGTCCTTTACAACACCTTCATGCAACTTATTTAAATCGTCTTGTTGTTGGTAGTGAACGAACCCAATGATACCCACCGACGTTAAACAAGATAGTCCAAATACTATTTTAGACGTTGTTGACATATTAATACGGAGTGAATGAGTAGATATTTTTAACGGGCGTTAAATTTTAGCATAGAATATTTCAATAATGGTTTCACAGTTCCAGCCAGCAGCCACATCCAGAACTTGGGTTGAAACTTGAAAAACGATGATCAAACACCAATTGAAAATGGTTATCAACAATCGTTTGTTTCGATCATGATAACGGTTATCACATAATTTCCACTTAAAAGTAGATAGCCCTAACAACACCACTACGGGCCGTAGGATAAAATCTTAGATCATATAGTATATGATCTAAGGATAAAATCAGCCACCAGTTTTCGCATGATATAAACAACAATTTGTTGTGTTCGGCATAGCAAAAACGTTTTGACGCGTTAAAGAACCGAGAAGGCTAGTCATATCTTTTTTTTCCCATGTCAAATCACTACATGGGAGCCGAACTGTTTTCACATTCCTTAACTCAAAGGCTAGTCATATCTAAGAAACTAAATTTTAAATAAAAATAAAAAAAAAAAAAAAAAAAACATACATCATTGTAAAATCAATACATTCATCGTTCCACTCAGAATCTAAAAGACTAATACAATTGGAAACAGAAAATGTTTTTAAACAGTTGAAAATTTTATCGTGTATAGGAAATTCAGATATAAACAACCAGTGAAAACTTCATGTATATACGTTCATTTGTTTTAAAGTTACACCAAAAACCAAAATCGATTTAGTCAAAAACCGATTTTGCGTAAAACTTCCCGCCGTTTTCTTTAATTGTTATGTTTTTTTTCCCGGAGTTTTTGAAAACTATTGAGAATTTTAAAATTTGACCTCCCGAATGGACCAACTAGATTCTCTTTCCCACCAAAGAAGATACTGTTGAAGAAAATCGAAGCAGTTTTACTGCCCCAAACCATGATTACAGACAAAAAAAAAAAAATAAAAAAACACACACATCATTGTAAAATCAAACATTCACTCTCCCACTCAGAATCTAAAATAATTACGTTCAAATATATATATATATTACGTCATGTTATTAAATTATTTTTAAACAATTGTGTAAAAGAGTGATTCTAAAAATAATAGATTCTAATAGATTATAGAATAGAATATTCTATTAATAATTTTAAAATAGTGATTTAAAAAATTAGTTGTTTTTTAAGTCAGAAGTAAGTAGTAGTAGAAAAAAAATATGTGAAACATTTTATTGATTTTATTTTTATTTCTTACCAAATGAAAATTTCTTTATCATGATTTAAAGGAAAAATAATTCGAAAATTTAAAATGTCTATAATATGAAATTAGTTGAAATGTATAACAATAGAAGATGCTAATAAAAAGTTTTTCCCAAACATTTTGTCGTTTTTCCTAACCAGGCCCGTAACCACGGGGGGGCAAGGGGGGGCATTGCCCCCCCTAAACCCAGTCATTGCCCCCCCTAAAAAATATTAGAAAGACTTTTAGGTAGGTATGTATTTTATTGCTAATAACACTTTCATCGGTAATAGAATAGATCAAAAAAGTTTTTTTAGCCGTATTAACTTAAACATGGACCTATTATTAACGAACTTCAACAAGCAGAATAATAGAAAATTGAAGCTGTATTAATTAATATTAAAATGTTCAAAATTTAACCACGTAACATCAGTGAATATGATGAATATTATAATTATCTATGTAAACTTTAATATAAGTTTTATTTTTATTATTTAGTATTATTCGTTTTGTAACTTTAAAACAAATGTTTCATTGTAAATTTCCAAAATATTCTATTATAAATGGATTATTATTATTATTATTATTATTATTACTATTAGATAGAAAATTATAGTTGTGTTAATTTAATGGGATATCAATGTAAATAAATTAAAAATTGCATTAATATTTAATACATTTATATATAATGCCCCCCCAAAAATTTGCTTTGCCCCTCCTGAAAATTTGGTCTGGCTACGGGCCTGTTCCTAACTATTAACTATTAAGAAAATAACTTTTAATGTCACAATTTCACCCTTCGAAAGTAGGTACCAACTAGATCCAATTTTTAATCAGAAATCACCACCAATGTTGAATAACAAAGTATTTAATCTACCATGAAACGCTGTGTACCTATACACATACACAAAAACACTTATTAATCGCTTATATAGCTATGATCAGAATCTAAAAGACTTCACCTATAAAAGTGTAAAACGAGTATAACAATATAATATATAATGCAGATCGATAAATAAATTATCCTTAAAATATTATAAAACAATATTATAGTATACCTAAAACGGCTAAAACCCAAGTAACTCTACTCCCTAGTATACCCAATGGCCAATATTATATAGTACAGTATTATTGGTATATCAATAACTAGCTGAGCCCGATCGCTTCGTTGCCAGTAAAAAAAAATTGAGATTGTTCAACTCCTTTTGGGTGAAACTCAGCATCCCTGGTAGGCAATCCGACTACGTCGGATCGTGGACATTGTGCGACAGCATATCAAGTAGCCAAGTAGGCAATGTGTGAAAATTTGATTTGATGCATTATGCTTGCACCTGAATACCTGATTTGCCCTATAAACCAATGCCAACCAAATAAAAAATACCTACCTATACGGCTATACCAATATTTATTAATATTTTATTATTTATTTATTTATTCTATAACCAATTACCAATAGCTTGTATTTGCTATTGTACAGCTTGGCCACGTGAAAATATATTAGGTATATGTTTACCGGTGTGGTGACATTTTTTCTGACCCAAAATGTGAGAACTCAGAACAGACAGAAAAAGAAATTAAAAAAGCATACTCACACATAATTTTAAAATCAGTACATTCGTCGCTCGGCTTAGAATCTAAAATAATAATAATTATGACTATTGTTCTATGAATCCCACATTGAGTTTACGTAAAAGTAAGTACCTACCTAATGCGCTTACCCGCTCATCGATCCACACAGGGGCGTACCGAGGAGGTTTTTATTGGGGGGCCAAAGTCAGTAGTTTGGCCAACTCTAAAAATTGATCCGGGACAACTTGTTTTTGTTATTTTGTCGTAGCCATTTCATCGTTAAACAGTTAAAATGTTTTAATTATTTAAGTAAATTAAAAATTCAAGCTATTATACTAATAGATTATGAAAATTGTTTATAATATACAAAGATATCCATTACAATTATTCCATTAGGTAAGTACCACATTTGCAATAAAATAATAAATAATGTTAAAACAAAAAAAAAAACAAAGAAAATAATAAAAAGGTGGGCAAGTGGGTGTCGCTCTGCTGTACAGTAGGTTCAAGGGGGTCACTGTATAATAGATGGTATTACATTTGAATTCAATGATATTATATCATTGTATAAGAAAAACGATTCTGTGCGGAGACGGTATGTCCTCCTATATAATTATCTATGGTATTAAAAAAAATTGACCTATAATGAATTCCAAATTAATCATATCACAATATCCATTAAGTACTTATAACGCGTAATACACCAACAACAAACCCTGATACTATCATAGATATATAGTAGTATACTTTAGAAGTTTCAAGTATCCACGAAAAATATTATACAATCACAACAAAATAACTAAAATTTTATTTTTTATTATGTAATTTCGTCCAAATTTGAATTTAAAATGTCTGTAAAAAATAACTGTGTGCATATATTTTTAGATTTTTTGGTTACAGTATGAACTATTTATGAGAACCTTTGTTTTAAATTTGCAATCCTTAGCTATGAAAACTGAACATTTTATAATTTATTAATTACAATGATTGATAATTTTCGAGAAAATTGAAAATTGTATTGTTATTTTTAGAAAAAAAATTAAAAACAAATGGAAAATGAAAATGTCCCTAACCAGTTCAAAATAAATCAAAATATTTTGAAAATGTTATCGTGTATATAAAATGCAAATATAAACAACCAGTGAAAATTTCATGTATATACGTTCTTTTGTTTTAAAGTTACACCACAAACCAAAATCGATTTTTTGGAAAACTGATTTTGCGTAAAAATGCCCGTTTTTCCTTAATTTTTATGTTGTTTTTCCCGGCGCTTGTGAAAACTACTAGGAAATTTTTACCTAATATTACAGATAAACATAACGTGTCGTATAATAATTATTGTAAATAATAGTGGTAGGTATCACAAGCCTGCAGTACTGATACATACATTTATAACAAATTGGATGCCAATATGCCATAGACTGAAAACATCAAGTTAACCACGTTCAGTTGGCTATTTATAGTATCTGGTATCATTAACATTGGGATTTTCAAACTCCCTCACCATTGCACCTATTCCTCTTATTATTACTGACACACTGATAACAATTTAGTATTTACTGCTTATTTTTCCGATAATAGACAATAGATATTTTTCTAGTTCAGACAGTATAATAATATTAGTATATTCACCATATTATTCTAATAACCTTGATTCTAGTCAATATCATTATCACAAATCACAATCGTCAATCGTATACAAATTATTAGTTTGCCATTATGTACAGTTATTGAGTTTTTCATAAATGTAAAATGGCCAACTCAAAAGTTAAGAAACCAATTATTGGGGGGGTATTATGACCACCCTACCCCCCCACTAGGTTCGCCCCTGGATCCACATGAGTCTTATGGTATTTTTCTTGTGTCGATGATGACGATAATACTTGTTGTGTACTGTGTACACAATAATATATTAAAATAAAATAAACTAATATAGTAACAGGTACCTACAATTAATATTTAAAGAAATAGAAATTGTAAATAAAGAAAAAGAATACTTCTATACGCTAATAACGTATTTGCGAATTGTTCAATAAGAATA